CAACCCCCAGGGCTGCCTCAGTGCAGCCACCCCAGCCCTCCGCCTGGCTCGGGTGGCCTGTCCCAGCCCCCAGCTGCCGGCTTAGATCTCAGGCTGGGTGTTGCAGGGACCATTCGTGCCCATTTAACTCAGTTCTGTCAGTCAAGGGGTGCTCGGGGCAGATCTGAGCCTCGGAGGTTCCCCCTCCGCCCCACTGGCTTCTGCGTTGGAGAGGGGAGACCCAGCGAACGAGCGCCAGTCCTCCTTTGCCGCTCCCTCCCCGCGGGATCGGTCCCGCACTGTTTTGCTTTTTCTTCTTTCTTTTTTCCTTGTCTCCTACCAGATTTTTGGCATCTTTGTCTTTTGAAGATGGTGACGTTCTGTCGGAGTTCGGCAGGTGCTCTGGTTGGCTGAGTGGGTCCGTAGATGAGAGTTTTGGTGTATTTGTGGGAGAGGGTGAGCTACAAGCGTCCTTCTACTCTGCCATCTTGCTTCTCCTCTGCTTTTAGCTTTCTTTGGTGGCCACACCAGTTTGCATTCCCACCAGCAGTGCTCCATGCTCCCTGCCTCCACCTCCTTACCGACTCTTCTTGTCTCTCGTCTGATGATTTTCTCACTCGTGTGAGGTGACATCTATGTGCTTGTTGTCATGTTTCCCTGATGATTAGTGATGTTGAGCATCTTTTCATGAGCCTATCGGACATCTGTGTGTCTCCTTTGGAAAAATGTCTATTCCGTTCCTCTGCCTATTTTGTGGGGGGAGGTGATTAGGTTTATGTGTTTACTAACAGGGGTGCTGGGCACTGAACCCAGGACCTCATGTTCCTGAGCACGCACTCTACCTCTGACCTGCACCCTCCCCTCTTGCTGCCTGTTTTTCAAATTCGGGTTTTTTGCTTCTGAGTTGTAAGAGTTCTTTATGTGTTTCCAGTATCAGCCGGTTTTCATATGCATGATTTGCAAGTATTTCCTCCCATTTGGTAGCTGCCTTTTCATTTTGTTGATGACTTCCTTTGCCGTGAGAAGATTTTTAGATTGATGTGGTCCCACTTGTTTATTTTTGCTTTTGTTTTTGGTGTCAAATCCAAAAAATCATTGAGTCCAATGTCAAGGGGCTTTCACACCTGTTTTCTTCTAAAAGTTTTATGGTTTCAGGTCATACATTCAAGCCTTTAATCCATCTTGCATTGGTTTCTGATTTGGTGTAAGGTAGGGGTCGAGGTTCCCTTCTGTTCACGTGGAGGTGGTTTTCCAGCGCCGGCTGGAAGGTGGGCTGGAGGTTACTCCTTGTGCCGTTGAAGGGTCTGTGTCTGGAATTTGTCCCTTTGCCACGTCTGCTGACTCGGTCCCACATCTCACTCTCCTGTGGCTGAGTCCAAGACCCCACGGTGAAGGAGGCCCTGCATGCGTTTCTCTGGTTCCAGGCCCTCTAGGAGTCAGGTTTACACTGCAGTCTAGGCATTGTGTCTTAAACATACCTTATTTAAAACACTTCACCGCTGAGAAATGCCACTTGAAATACTGTGAGAATTACCAGAACATGACGCAGATAGGAGGTGAGGGGCTGCTGGGAGAAGGGCCGTGGACCTGCGGGCGCAGGCTCTTCTGTGCGCGTGGCCGTGTCACGTGTGGACAGGGCTGTTTTGCTTGTTCCTTTCTTGTTGGTGTCCCCGCCATAAGCCGGGCTGGGATCCTGGTCGCGGCGACAGGAGGGGCACCCTTGGCCGTCTGTCGGGAAGTGCAGTCGCTCTTGGACCGTGAGGTGTGATGTGCGCTGGAGGCGTGGTGGGCCCCCCAGGACTGCGCTTCTGGTGCTGGTTTGCTGAGGATGTTTATCGCTGGTCTTTTAAGCCAGGTTTCCTGAGGTGCAGCTACGCCTGCCTGGGCGTGCCCAGCGCTGTCGGTCTTGACAGGTGTCTCCCGCGTTGCTGCGGGGGCTGCAGACAGCGCCGGTGGCAGCCTCAGTCTGCGGGCCTCTGCCCAGGGTCCTGGCCATCCAGCTGCGGCCAGGCTGGTCCTCCTTGCACCTTGGACCCCGGGGACCACAGGCTCACTGCTCAGTTCTTGGCTGGGAGCAGGGGCCCTGGCGTTGGGATATTTCAATGCTCCTGTGAATGGGGTTTTTTTCCTGACTTAGTTGCTGGATAAACAGAAATACAGGTAATTTTTTTCAGCTAACTTTTAAACCTGTGACCAGTTAGACCCACGGCCGAGATGCAAGCATCTGCCCCTGAGCCCTTGTGGTCCCAGTGGGTGCGTCATGTCATCAGCACAGGGTCCCCTCCTGGCCGGGCCGCGGTGCCGTGGGCGGAGGAGGCTTCCTGAGCCCAGGCTCCCTCCTTCACCGGGAGTTCCGTGGGTGGACATCAGGTCGTGTCGAGTATTTTCTGCAACTGTTAAAATGGCTCTGCGCCCTTTCTCCTGGTCATAGCGTGCTGAACGACCTGACTTTGTCCATTGTCTCTGATCTGTGACCTCATGTGACATAGGGCACCGTTGCTGCCTGTGCTCAGCCTGGGGGCGTCCACGCACTGGCTCTGTCTGTCCTGCAGTTCCCGAGCCTGCGGGCCTGTCTGGTGTCTGGTTTCCTGCTTATTTTCGCTATTTCCCGTGTTGCCTGTTGTTCCTGATGGTTTCTGTGTGGGATCCACACACTGTTTGCAGACCTGCTTGAAGACGTGTGTCCAGGCTTGGGCTCCCAAGCTGCCTGGGGACCACGGCCGTCCCGGGCTGAGCCGTGCCGCTGGCCTCTGGTTCCAGCCAGACCCACCCTGGGTGTCCCCCACCCTAAGGTGTCCCTTACTCTGGGGTGCAGGGTGCAGGAGGGTCCACTGGGCCCATGGAGGTGGGGAGAAGTGTCCCTGAATGCCCCAAATTGTCTTCCACCCCTAGACTGCCTCTGTTCCCCTTTGAGAACTGGCTCCCACATGAGTCCACCCCCCATGTCCCTCTCCTGTCTGGAAGGACCCTCTGTGCTCCCAGGCCGTCTGGGCTGTGGCTTCTATAAAAGGACTGTAGATCCAAGCATGCTTCTTGATGAGCAGAGCAGATTGCTATGCAGGCTCCTCAGTCCCTCCCCGAGCGGCTGCTGGACCCCTGTACCCCCGACCCCTCCCTCCAGCGACCTCCTTCTCTCCTCCTGTGTTGAGGCTGCTGCTCTGACCTTGGCCTTTCACCCCCTGTTCAGCTCTGTCCACCGGGCTGTGCCCCTGGGAAGGTCCCAGCTCCCTGTGCCCTCAGCCCCTGCCCAGCTGTACTGGGTCTCTTCCTGGTCCAGCCGCCCCCTGGGCCTGGCGAGCAGCTCCCCTCATCCTCACCCCATGGTCCTTCATTCTGCACACATGAAAGGCCACCCCGACCCCCTCCAGCTCAGAGCTCGTGTCCCCAAGTGTTGGTGAGTCAGGAACTGAACCTGCTGGGCCCACCTGCCTGCCCACTCATCCGAGCCATCAGGGAACTGCCCTCAGGATGTTTCCTGGATCTGACCACCTGTCTTGCACCGCCTGCCCACACCCCTGCCACCCTGGGCCGCGGTCTGTTCTTCTCCTTGCTGTTCTAGAACCTTCCAAACACCCTCCTGCGCTGTCCCCATCTCTGCCTCAAGCCTCTGCCTGAATTCCCCTGGGTGGCCAGGCACCTGCGCACCCTCAGCATCTCCGACTTGTGACGTGGGTGGGCTCTTAGGGGGCAGGCCTGGGCTTGGGGCTCCCTGCCCCCAGAGCCAGGTGTGGGTTGCTTCTGGAGCAGAGACGCTTTCAGAGACTAGTACATCCATCTGAAAGGACGCATTTTTAAAGACCTGAGAAAGGTCTTTTGTCGCAGGAGGGATACAGTGTTCACGGGGTGCGTTCACGGTGACCAGGCTGTGTGGCGGTTGGGTCTGGAAGGGCCATTTGCTCCAAGGACGGGTGGCCCTCACCCGGCAGGGCCTCTAAGCTGGTGCTGCGGGCAGCCAGGAGCCCAGGACACGCCTCGTCAGGACAGTTCTCGGGGCGTGGTCCTGGGAAGTGTGGGCGGCGTGTGGGGGGCCAGGGGCAGCGGGTGCACGACACCTGAGGGGTGCATGGAATCCCCACTTGTCCTGAGAAGCCCCAGTGTCACTGGGGTCTACCTGCGTGTCCTGCAGACCTTGGGCGGGGCCTCCACGTGGGACCCTCACAGGCCAGATGCCTCCCCTTAGGGACCCCGGGAGAGGGAGTGTCCTGGCTGCCTTGGTACCCCCTGGGGGCAGAGCCTGTGTCTCTGCTGCTGCAGGGTCCAGCCTTCTTCCTGCCTCACAGGGTACCTGCCTCCCACCTTGTTTAGCTCTTGTTTAACTTAGAAGGAGAAGAATAGAAAGTGAAAGCATGTTTCACTTTCTCCAAGGGTTCATTTTTCCCAGCTTTATGGATAATTTCTTTTTTACTTCACGTTGTGAAAATCCTCACATGTGCAGAAGTGCGGAAAGTCCGTGTCGTTGAGCCCCTCCTTGGCCCCCAGCTGGGAGGCTTAGGCTGCGGGACTGTGTGAAGTCGTGGTGTCCTGGGGAGCACCTGCTGGTTCAGGGCTTTGGGTCAGCGCTGGATGGCTGATGTCAGCTCTCCAGGGAGAAAGAACCCTGCTTAGCTCAGAACACCCGCCCTGTCTTGTCAGGGCAGCCACACGGGGAGCCTGGCTCCACCACGCTCCTCTCTGCGACCGCTGGGTTGGCAGGTTTTGCCGTCAAAACCACCGCCATGAAGGGTCTGGCAGCCCATGGCCCAAGTGAATTTTCCCTCCCTCTGTCCGTCTGTCCCTCTGCCCTGCCCGGCACGCCCGGGTCTCCCCGTGCCTCCGGATTCTGCCCTTCCTCCTCTGTCCCCGGGGCACTGGGGGCAGCGCTGCCCCGGGATCTTGACGGGAACACACATTCCTCACCCACCCCTGCCCCATGCTGTTCGCGTCGGTATTGAGGGGGCGGCCTCATCGACATGGGGCCATTTGGCCGGCCATGGCAGTTGGGGGGGGCGCCCCTGGCCCAGGCTGAGCGCATGTCCCCCCAGGATGGGGAGCTGTACTGCATCGACGCCCGCTTCTATGGCAACGTCAGCCGTTTCATCAACCACCACTGCGAGCCCAACCTGGTGCCCGTGCGCGTCTTCATGTCCCACCAGGACCTGCGCTTCCCCCGCATTGCCTTCTTCAGCACCCGCCTCATCCAGGCCGGCGAGCAGCTGGGGTAGGTGCTGCCCAGACCGCGTGCCCAGGGCCCTGGGAGGTGCTGGTGGCCAGGCCCCTAGCTCTGCTCTCTCCCCAGGTTTGACTACGGGGAGCGCTTCTGGGACATCAAGGGCAAGCTGTTCAGCTGCCGCTGCGGCTCCCCCAAGTGCCGGCACTCCAGCACGGCCCTGGCCCAGCGGCAGGCGGGCGCCGCCCAGGGGGCCCAGGAGGACGGGCTGCCCGACACCAGCTCCTCCACCGCCGATCCCCTCTGAGACCCCGTGGCCCAGAGCGGATGCTGTCCTGCTACACTGAGGAACAGAGGAGAAGCCACCTGAGGGCCCCGACCTGGCCCAGAGCAGGCGGGCGGGGCTAGAGCAGGTGCCGAGGAGCCTCTGGGACTCTGCACCGGTGCCCCTGCGAGTTCCTGATGGTGGTTTTGTCATTTCCCTCTCTCCGTCTGCCCAACTCCTCCGTGGGGCCCCACCAAAGCCACCGTCACCTGCCAGCTGCTCCATTCGACCTGCCCGCCCGCAGCCCACCTGGCCGGTGCTGGCTCCCAGCTCCCGGCGTGGCACAGACACCATCCTCACCGCAATCTGAGAGGTCAGGGCCAAGCTGCCACTGACTTTGGAGAAAATTTGGGTTTGCTTTTTAAAGAAATCCTGTATCTAGTCCTGTATCTCAGACCTCTAACACGTTTCTTTCCGAGGAAGCAGTTTGGTGGGTGCCAGAGGGCGCCGCAGCCCACGGAGGCCCTGCACCTGCCCCGCCAGCGCCATGAGGCCGGCACCTTCTGTCGATTTCTAAGCCACATGCTATGATGATGAATAAACTGATTTATTTTCTACCATTACTGAACATTAGGACAAACAAAAAATAAAAACACAAAATAGACAATGGTGCTGATTCTGGTGTGGTTTCTACTCACCATGTGAAAATAACTATCAACTGTATAAAGAGAACAAAGTGATTTTAGAATAAAATGCAGGAAAAAACTTTTTTAAAATGTTAGTCTTGTAGTGTGAATAAATCTGCCATCACCTTTTGTGCGATGGCCTGCCAGGTCACATACTTTTTTTTGGCATATACTTTTTTAAATACTGTAATCAGTGCAGTAACAGTGGGTTTTTTTGTGCGACTCTTCTAAAACATTCATAATGCAGTCATGTTTATTTTTTCTGTTAAAATGTTTTTGACAGTTCTAAGAGCAGTCTTTTGGCTCAGACCATTTCTTGTTCTGTTTTCAATGAAATCAATAAAAAAAGAAGTACTTTACTTGAGGTTTTTATTATATCCTGTTTCATCCGGTTTCTGCAGAACACCTGCGCTGTCAGGGGACGAGGTGCTGGGGGGTGTCACACCCAGGCCTGTGCTCCGAGTCTGAGCAGGCGGACCACCCCACCCCCCACGCCCCGGCAGAAGTCAGGAGGGCCTGTGTGTGCGTCCGAGTGTGTGCACGCAGGTCTGCTGTGTGTGTCCAGCGCCCTAGAGGCTGGTGGAGAGTCTGAACCACATCTGTGCTGGGACGTGGCGAGTGAGGCTGGAGACGGCAGAGCTGGGGCCCGCCTCCTGCTGCGCAGGCCCAGCCTGTGCCTATCTCGGGAACCCACCAGTCCCAGCCTCACCCAGAGCTGTGAGCGTGAGAAGTGGCGTGGATGCTCCGATTTTATACACGAGTCATTCAGTTAGCAGACACTTTGAGACATTCACCCAGAACCGCAACTGCTCCCCCGCACTTTACAAAAGGCCACAGAAGTGCTTCCCCTGGGGCCCTCAGACCAAGCCCTGTGTGGCAGGAGCACGGCTGACCCGTTGGACTGTGTTGTGCCCAGTTTCTGAGGGCTCAGGCTGGGTCCTCAGGGCTCCAGGACCGCACTGGGGGGGCTCTCCCAGGAGCGGGGCTTTCAGACCATGAGACCTGCCAGCCCTGTGCACCACCACCCCTGCCTCGGGCTGGGAGCCCAGTGCTGGGCAGGTGAGGACTTTGTGTTCTGAGGGTCCACCCATTCTGTGCATTGGGCCAGTGCTCTGTTGACTTAAGACTCAGTGTAGTTGCAAACCTCTGGGTGCTGGGCAGGCCTGTGGGGTCTGGGCAGTGGGTGTCTGGGCTGCGGTGTGTCACCCGGCCCTGGGGGCTGGCAGGGACCTAAGTGCCAGCAGATGCTCCTCAGCCAGTCCTGCCAGCGGGGCCTGGAGGGAGAGGCCACGGCGGGGCTGAGGAGTGAGCGGTACAGGGTGGTGGCAGAGAGCAAGGCCACCACGGAGGGGCCACCGGCACCTGGCGGGGACGTGGGCACAGGCGGAGTCTCCCCCAGGTTGCAGTTACTTCTGCCAAAGGCAAACCTTTTGTTGCCCAAAACCCAAGTAGCACATGAACACTGGAAGAAAACACAGACCCCAGAAGGCCCCTCCTGCGGGCCTCAGGGGTTGTCTGTGGGGCTGGCCCAGCCCTGCGATGCTCCCCACCCTGTGTCCTCCCTGGTGGCCATGCCAGCTGTACCCCGAGGTCCATGCAGGGTTTTCCAGCCTCCACTGCTGGAACAGCGCCGGAAAGAAGAGCTCTGAGCACGATCTTCATCGCTTGAGTGATTGTCCTCACACAGAAGGCGCTGAAGGGCGCTGTGTAGCGCACACTTGAGAATCTGTCCCCCCAAACCCCATCCCTAAAATGAGCTGCCTTCTGCCTCCACCGAGAGAATACACTCCCGTGTTCAGCGTTGAGTGTAGTCAGACTGCCTTTTCTGATCGTCCAGAGAAAACATGACCTTCATGCGCCGCACCACGCTTCTCTGATAAACTGAATGTCTTTTATATTTATTACAGGTTGACCTTTCTTCTTGCATGAATTGCATTTGCGTGAAATGTTATTGTGTGGTTTGTATTTTCCTTCTTGATTTGTACGAACTCTATATATTGTGGCTTTACACCCCTGCTGAACCTGAATTTTTTACGTGGTTAAAACCTGTCTTGGGACCTGATTTTGTAGTATGTTTAGAAAGGCCTTCACCTCCAAATTATAAAAATATTCTCCAGTACTTTTTCCAGTGTTTTATTTTCAAGTTTAGCTCTTGCATCCATGTGGAGCTATTTGGTGTGGAGTGTGAAATAAAATTTAAGGGGTTTAATTGAGGAGTCATTTTTGTGCAGTGCAAGGCACAGGTCTTTTGGGGACCACTCAGTGGGTGTTGAGAGATGCCTTTGCCATGTCACCCACCCCTTCTGGAGACACACAACATCCCATTACCCAGGAGACCCGGTCCCTGCATCCTTGAGGCATGCCTTTTCTGGGACCGCCTGTAATTGGAAGGGCAGTCAGCTTATCTTTCTTTCCGGCTTCTCTTGCTCCCCTGCTTCTGGCTCACGTTTCATAGAGCACCAGGTCACCAGTCCTTTGTGTCGCTGAGGCTTCCACAGTCGGAACGTTCCAGGTTTGTGTATCCATGCTGCAGTGCAGGCATGTCCGAGTTGTTTCCAGTTTGGGGGCGCTGCAAACATCCCGTGCCAGTCTGTGTGTCTGTCTGTCTGTCTTGTCTGTCTGTCTTGGTGGATGCCCAGAAGTGGACTTGCCAGACCAGGTGGTGAGAGTGCATTAACACCACTAGTGGGGCCGGTGCCGCATGTGTCACCCCGCCGTGCACCAGGGTCTTTGCTTGTGTCCCCACTGTCGTTCCATGTCTGTCTCTTTAATCCTGCAGGTTCTGGTGGGTGCATGGTGGCATCTCACGCGTTTTGGTTCATTTCCCCCAAGTGACGTTGGGCACTTGTCAGCTGCTTGCTGTCTTCCTTTGCCGAATGCCTGTTACGTCCTCTGTGCCCTTTTGAATTGGGCTGTCTTTCCATTATTGAGCGTAGGAGTGCAAGTGCTCTGGCACAGAGCAGTGTTTAAGTATTTTCTCTCAGTTTGTAACTTCTTGCTCATGTTCTTAGGAGAAATTAAAAGTTTTGACCACATCCAATTTATGTTTTTTCTTCTTTGGTTAATATTTTCTTGTTGTCAAGTGTCTCGGCGAACCGTGAGAACGTGCCAACTTTGAGAAGACACTCTCTTGCTTTCTTCTAAAGCGTCACAGTTTCACCTTTTATATTTGGGCGGATGACCCACCTTCATTACTTTGCATCGGTAGAGTAAGGTCGAGATCCAGATTCGTGTTTTTCGGCATGGATGTCCAGTTGTCCCAGCCTCGACTGTTGATTTTTTAGGAAGACTTTCCCCCTCCCACTGGCCTGCGTTGGCTCCTTCCTAGAGCACTGACTGATGTGCTGATGTGCAGCCTTTATCCCACTGGTCTCTTTGCCTGACTCTGTGCCAGCATCGTACTGTCTTAATTCCTAGCTTCATTGTAGGTATTAAAACCGCATGTAGTGTAAGGCCTCCACCTTTGTTCTTATTCTTAAGGATGATTACAGTCATCCCATGGAATCCATGGGGGATTGGTTCCGGGACGCCCTGTGGCTGCCAGAGATCTGCAGATGCTCAGGGACCTTCCAGTTGGTCCCTGGATCCACAGATGCAGGCCTGCACACACACAGGGCTGTTTTCCACCACTTGGGTTATTCCCATTTTTGTATAAATTTTAGAATCGGTGTATCAGTTCCGATGAATGTCAGTCTTCTGAGGAAGACTGGTGGAGTGTTTTAAACTTTAAAAGCCCTCTTTATTGAGATTCAGTTTGCATATCATAAAATGCACCCATTTAAAGTGTTTCATTAAGTTTGACAAATTATCTACTTGTGTAACCAGCACAGTCCGGGCATGCGCACATTTCCTCCCCGGAGCTTTCCTGGTGCTGCTCGTGGTCGCCCCGCCCTGCCCTGCCCCGGGGGACGCACGTTTCCTGCCCTGGGACCTGCCGTGATTGGGCCACACGTGCACGGTGCTGTGTCTGGCTTCTTGGGCTTCACGAGTTCCTGGTGAATTTTGAAACAATCTCAAACGTACAGGGAAACTGCAAGCACAGCACAGACAGCTCCTTCCCTCCGAGCCGTCAGGGAGCAGACTGCCGACGCGATGCCCCTTCACTCACGACACGCTGCCTGCGAAACCCGGCCGTGCCCCAGCACCAGGGCTGGTGTTGCCCTGACGACTGGTGATGCCAGGCGTTTTTAGTGC